CGCCGCAGCCGTGTGCGGACGTGTTTTCATTTGAGCTCTGTTGTCTTTCGTTTCACGATTTTTATTCTACTTGTGTATAACAAATTTTAATTTAAACAAATATATAATCGCAAACAATCATAGGCAATTTTAATTTTCAAATATATAATCACAAACAATCATATACAATTTCAATTTTGTGAATACAAGTATAAATTTAATTAATTTGTGCATTGCAAATATATATTCAATTTGTGATAGTGACAATTGGCTGCTTTTAAGCTTTTTATTATTTTCTTTGTTGTTTTCACTTTTAATTTGCACAAACAATATGCCTTGTTTTTGTGGTCAGAGAGTGGAGCGCGCTCAAAGCAGTGTGCAGTGTGAGAAATGTAAAGAAGTATACCACCTGCAATGTGTTGTTGGTACGTTGGCCGCTGATTTGGACTATTTCAAAACTTCTGACAATATTTATATTTGTGGTGATTGTGCTGTCACTGATCGTCAAGATGGTGTGTCATACAATGCTGTCGCTGTACAACAACAACATCAACATGTAAATAACGAACAGAATCACTTGTTATCTTCCATTCTTGCCGAATTGAAGAGTCTGCGTACAGAGCAAGCAAGTGCGGTGGCAGTTATACACTCTCTGCAAGCCGACAAAAACAGGTTTCTGGGCGAATTAGAACTTATGCGCTCTCAGCTACAGTGTCTCACAAAAAATCTGTGATGAAGGGGTTGCTAGTGCACTTGCCTCGCTAACATCAGAGGTCAAAGAACTGAGTTTGAGTGTTAGCAAAAAATAAAGAAAATAAAAATAAAGAAATCAAAGGAAGAAATAAAAACAATAAAAACGCTAAGAAAGATATTCCTACAGCCCAGCAAAACTCTGCTAAAGCATCTGTTGCCGTTGAACATTACACTGAGTTAAACCAACGTATTGAGGAGTTGAGCAACAACAATGCTATGTGTACGGTTGTGACGGCTGAAAAGGTGTCGGTTGCTAAAAGTGTTGTTAGCTCTACTAAT